TCTCTTCTACTCTGTAGCTTGAAAGACCATGGGAAAACATTCCACGATCATATTGAGCACTGCAAGCTTCTGGAGTATCTACCAAGGTCTTGAATCGTTGTCACAGCCTTTTGCAGCAGGCACGTGTTCGACTTGCCGCATCAATTGCCGCTACTATCGCAATGCGCCACCAACGCCCCGCACCTTGTCGCCGAATCTTAGGCGCTGCTGGTGCCTGGCACCAAGTCCTCATCACCAACACTGAATGCACCACCCACCAATAATCGTGTCTCTGCACACGCACTCATGAAAATCGGCCCGCGTCGTCAATATAAGTGTCCCGCTTCGAGATTGCTGCCTTGCTACTTAGTGCCTTGCGCGGACAGGCTAATATCACGAAACCATCGCGCAGTCACGCCCGCGCTGCTGCCGAGCGCACGCTCTTTGTACATATAGCGCTCGTTTGTCTTTCCCTAGTCTCTAGTACCACAGATCACCATGGAACTGCCCGATGAACTTTACCTCGAAATCTTCTCACATCTGCCCCAGCACCACCTGCGCTCAGTATCTCAAACATGTCGCGCTTTTGCGACCATTGTGAGGCCGCTGATCTTCGCCACCATTCATCTAGATGGCTCTCCCCAGAGCAGATTTGGCAGGATGGAGAATAACGAGTGTGTCATGTACCCGGGTCGTTCACGCACGGTAGAGTTGGTTTCTTTGGAAAGTACCGTGGATGAGCTCATTGCGCACGACATTGCGCGGCATGTTCGGAAGCTCAAGTTTAGTCCCAAATACTACGTAGATGGTAAGTTCAGCCGATGGATATTTATCCATAGCCAGACGGATACTGACTGTTCTCGCAGGGTTCTGGTCGAGGTATCGCCATTGGCTAGAGCGTGAGCAAGATTACGAGGAGGACTTTCATCGAATGTATGATGAAGAAGACTTTGAAACTGACTCTGAAGGTGAGTATGCCGGAATTCGTCGTCTCGCCGCGGAACGATTAGCAAGACCCGATAGAGAGCGCGAATTGATCGAGCAGGCGGAAGCGATCTGGGCCGCCAAGGTGGAGGAGCAGCGCGTAAGGGCAGACGCGGTTCTAGCAGCAATGGTCAAGCTCTTCGCACATATGCCGTGCCTGAAAGCTATCGAAGTCCAAGAGTGGCATTGTGACTTGGGTGATTATGGATTCGAAGAGGGCGGCGAGTGAGTATGGCCACATGATTTGCATGACACCAAACTAACGCAGTCAGCGATGAAGTGGACGAGCAGTTCTCTGGATGCGGCACGACCTGGAAGCACCTTGAACTCCTATGCTCCGCCGTTCAAGCGTCGAACAGTCGCATCCAGAGTCTGGTTCTCCCCAAGATTGATCCATCTTCAATCACGACAAGTGCCGCCTTGGAATACATGTTCAGCTCTCTCACTGCACTTTCGTTCAACGCCGAGAGTGTCGACTTCATGCTTGACTCATCTAACAACGAAGCTGAATCCCTCGCTGCCTTGATTCGTTGCTCATCGGAAACGTTACAAACACTCGAGTTCCGCAACATGACTACATCACATCCCCAACTACCGGATGTGGGCGAGCACAACATCGCTAGGCTCTTTGGTAGCGTCAGTGCCACCGACTCAGCAGACATTACACCGCTAGTCTTTCCGGCCTTGACAACTTTGAAGCTACGAAGTTTGGTCCTGGACACACCGTCTCTCATCACCTTTCTATCCCGACAGCCGCGATTGCGATATGCTCGCTTTGAGTACATCTATCTCGCTACCGTGGGGTATAAGTGGAGCGATGTCGCCGAAAAATTGCCGTCATCGTGCGACCGACTATATATTGGTAACAGTGGGCACGAAAAGTGGGGGCCAGACTCGCCCGCAGCGTACAACCACATCAAGAAATTCTTGCCGTTCCAAGACGATATGCCGGCTACATCAGGTTGGCGACTCAATGATGCCGCTTTTCAAAAAGAGATGGATGATGAGATCCAACGAAACATGGATGGCGGAATGAGGTTTTTGCCACAGGAACGCTGGTTTCAGGGCAAGACGAAAGAGGAATGGGTGGATATGATGCGAATGGCCAGTGAACATGCAGAGTTTGAGAGAATTTGAGTAGTTTTCCAGGCAGAGAAGTTAGCTGTTACAGATACAAAGCACCCGGTGTCTTTGTTGTGAGACGATTAGCATCGATACGAGTGAATAATACAGACGCAATGAAGTTGGCAATATGTCAAAAGACGCTAGTTTGGCAAATGTGGCAGATTTACATCACAGCTCTCAGTACAAGACCTTGCTAAAACACGACTATCATCATAAACCGTCTCGTCGCAAAGGAGCTTTACGCAGGCATCAGAGACACGCTCGCAACTGCCCTTTGTCGATAAGGAAACGATCACATCTCTAACCCTGCAATTGTTCCTGTCCCCTTCGCGTTGCGACTGCTGCTTTACGAACTAGAACCGCGGCCGTGCACTGGTCCTCATATGCTTGGTTCGCACCGAGCTAGTTGTACCCCCGACCGCACGTCGCCGGCAGAATACATGGTTGTGTGAACGAGGTCGTGCAGTCAAACGAGGAACCATTGACGTGGCCGTGCATCGCAGTTCGAATTGGTATAGATATCGATGTGACTGGTGACTTTGGTTCAGATATCTGACGTTGTGTCGTGCGGCGATGAGGAGTGGAAGGTGGGGTATGTAAAGGCGCTAATCTCCTCACCCGTCGTGATGACCTGGAGCGAGTCGAGACGGTCGGCGGCAGCGTTTCGTATATGCGATGAAGCGGTGGTGTAGGACGGCTCGCGATGTGATCTCTCATGTAGTTCTCATTATCTTCCCACAAGGGATCGGCAGCATTGAATGCGAAAGGAGTAGCGGCACGGCGATACGCAGGTACGAACGCCGCATTCCCGAGGTTGGTCTTGTCGCGAAACGGGATGCGTGCACCCTCGTTTCGCGGCAACGGTCTCCGAAAATCTGTCGTGGAGTTGTCGGCGTAGATGACGAAGTCGGGTTTGTGTCTTCTCTCTCTGTGGGGTGTTCGTAGACAACGTTGTGAATTTAAGATTGCGCAATTGATAGTGGTTGAAGTGGAATCTGGGGTGGTTACAGGGTGATGTTGCGCAGACGCCTGCATTGTGATGGTAGCGGTGGTGCCCATCATGTTGCCAAAGGTTTTGGTGACGAGATGAGTAGTAGAAGCTTAAGTAGTCACGATCAGCGTCGCATATGGAATATGGTCGGTCCTTTTTGGTATCTTTCCGGGTCATCTTGAAATGCTCAGAATGAAAGACCAAAGGTGAAGGAGACTGTTTCGGGCCTGGTCCACCCTCTCGCGCTGAACCAGAAGCGCTCTTTGAGATCTTGATTCACCTGTATGTCAAAGTATCCGTAGTGCCCCTCTTGAGCCATGCCTCATTCCCATCGTGTTCAAGGCTCCCGATGTGGACGCTAGTGCATCCGTAGAAGATCTAGATACCTGATGCAAGGCAGAAATTAGACAGCCCTGCAGCTTACAATGGACAGCGAGGAGCAAATTGTAAGCCTTAACAAGGTACTTACTTGGTAACACAGCCGGAAAATGGATGTATTCATGGACTAGTGCTGCCCAGTCGTATGGATGCAAGCCTCGTCTCCTCGCCGCACACTCGCGCGTGTTATTGTATGTGCTTCGTCAGATCAGGAGACAGATAAGCTGGATGTCGCATCTTTGGAGTATCGCTGTTGGGGACCGAAATTTGGTCACAGGTTGAGCGTGTTCGAGACACTTTGGAAAGGATACGGCGTAAGCTTCGCTGAAGATGATGAGATGACGTTGAAGATGCAGCTGGCGGCTAATCCCACGCTAAGGCGCGCCTGGAAAAGCACGGGTGCCCGGGTTCGCTTCGGCAATTGAGTGGGTTGCGCGCTGCTACCACGGCCATGGCTGAGCCAGGGCATGATGGCGTTCAACAATTCACCGAGATTCACGCGCTCCAGCCTGAGCAGTAGCATCAACGAAATGGTCTATCGAAGCGAATCAGTACGGCTGGCAGACTGCCTGTATCTTGATCAATGAGGAACATGTGACGAGTTTGGGTCTTCTGTTGACGATGGCGGATGTGGCGTTGGCACGCGCTGAAACCTGACCCGAACATGAGCCCGACAACTTTGGAACCGACTATGAGGGGCTTTACTGTTGCGCATCCTGGTTCTATGCGATCGTGTGCGCTCTGCGCAAAGACATCAGATCTCCCCGACCCATCGAGAGTGACTTTGACAAGCACTACGCATACCCAGGTGGTGTAGGGGGTCGATTCAGTGAGAACCAGGGGACATTGGGGACGACTGTACTGGTGGCTGTAGCGACTCAGAATTTGCGTCGCTGCGACGACAATGCGAGACATTAAGAGCAAATACTCTGGGAATACCAGTACGTAACGACTACGGTACAGCGTAATGCGTGCCACGTGCCCTTTGCAATCGTTCGTAACGTAGACAGCCTGCAAACAATGACGATGCTGATCTGGCCCGTTACCTGACTTCTTTGAGCACCTATCGGGTTTGACAATCTTTCTATCGCGCCAGCAAGCCAGAAATTCACCCATGAACACAATGGCTGTTAGGATAGGCTCCTGCGAAGGACGACGGTGTTGATGCATCCAGTGAAGCTGCGTGGTGGAGCGCCGCAGCAATGCCTGCATCCGTCCTCGATTGTCCTGACGCTTTGATGAGAGCTCCTAGGTTCACTGCCGGCTAGAACTTCTCAGCTTCTGCCACTTTGTCTCTGTGAGATAGTATCCTAGTTCAGAGATACGGTCGAGTTCTTCATTTCCCAGATTGTCGGCACTTTACTGATGACCGTCTCGCATGTGACAAAGAAACGAAGGGGGAGGAAGTAACTTAGTATGGAACTCACAATTTGACGTACTTCGTTGCAACCATCCCGGATACGATCAAACGACATTGATACCTATAGAAACAAAGGAGACTACCTAGGTATTGTACAATCGATTCGCCCCCCTTCTAGACCAATCACTTAGCCGATGTGTAGCAGCTGTCGCTCCCAAGCTGAAGCTGGCTTTTTGATACGAACAGCACCGTACCTGTCGCATGGTTCAAGGAGGCTTCGTTCACAGGGTGGTTGTCGTCGTCGGCCTGCTCCACGCATGTTGGGCCCTCCCATAGGCTCTCTATCGCATGCATATCGTTTGCCATATCGGGATAGGCGAACTGCTGCAAGCTGCGTTAGCAATGACCCATAATGGGAGAAAGAGATGCCAGCTGACCGTGCTGTGACGACTTACTGGAACGTCATGGTCCGGTAAGATGGATGATGAGGGCCAAGGTTGGTTCCAGGACGGACGCCGTGCGCAATGGACATCTGATAAGACAGAGGACGAGCGCTTGCGCTTCTTCGGTGGAACCGTAGGCAATTCGCAGAATTGAGATAGCCCTGACGAGTCGTACTCTCGGCTCGAACATGGGGCTGCGCGCTCCTCCGGTGATGGTAGAGAAGAACTCAAGGACTCAGGTGTGAACCCACTGCTGATATCGTCGAGCCACAGGCTTATGGAAGTGGCGTTGTCCAATGGAAGACATATGTCGTGAGTTGAGTTCATAGCCGCTTGCGTTGGCAACATTGGAGTCCGCTCCAGTAAAGGCGGCAGTGCGGAAAAGCATTCCGGTGTGGGGTCATCCCAATTGGTCACATCGCCGCCACCGAACTCAGGGCCGTTGGACATGTCTTGGAGCCAGGCCAGTGGCAGCTGTTCATCAACCACAGTGGATTGTTGCGCAAAGCTGAGAGTGGGAGAGCCAGCAGCAACGCGATGACTGGTGAATATGGAAGGGATGCGAATTGGGAGCGCTCTCCTTGTTGTGGTAGCTGCGATAAAACTACCAAAGTCTTTTGTCTCCAACGATATGTCATTCTTGTTTCGTTCTGTCACCCGTATGGAGGGAATTTCGGGAGCTTCAAGGGTACCGGAGTGATCGTTGTCCAAGGAGAACTTGTCTTTGGCCGAGTCGGCAGTCTGCATCATCATCAGACTGATCGCTGCTGCGATGTCATCGAAGTCTTCAGTGTCGGTTTGCGGACTGGTGGAAGGTTTCGTTGGCTCCATTGTCTGCATGGAACGGATGCTCGTAGCGGCCGCGAAAGGGTCATGGCCAGCCAGATCCATGAGATCTTTCGTACCTGTGTCAGCGATGGAGTGAATTGACAATGACGAGGCTTGCTCTATGAAATCGCTGGTGAGCGCAGGCAAGAGTTGGCCATATACTTATACTTCTCAAGTATCCAAACCAAGGCCAGCGAAGTTCGCGGCACGGTATTGTCTTAGTCGTGGCGCCAGATCGTGGGACGGTCATGACTAGCGTGTGTGTTCACATTTGACCCTAAGCTTAGCCTGGATCCAAGACAAGGAATTGAACGTCGCAGAGGTATGAGGGTTGACAGATTGTGAGCGAGGTGCATACATTTCTTGTACCGGCTCATTGCGGGCACGACCCATGGTATTTAGAGGGAGACATCTGATGCGAGGCGTGGTTGAAAGTATTCAAATGTCTATCCAAATCGTTGACATCGTGGGTGGCGACGTTGATATGCATACAATCTTAGAGGTAAATAAAAGTTTCATGCATGGTTGTTCAATTCGGCTCCCGCGAAGTTTCTCCAACAATACAGCAAAGTATGCGTACACATACCGGTTGGTACATGCAGTCTGATCGGTTGCGACTTTCGAGTGAATCCAACCTACCAACTGGAATGAAAGTCAAAAAGGTAAAGATGGGAAAGAAACACAAAAGAGAAGGAAGAGTAATACGAAAGGGACCAGTTCAAGCCGACTGCAACGGGGTGTAGCTACTGGCGACGTTGACCACCGCCCATTCGAGGACAGTGAAGACGTACCCATTGGGCCTGTGCGTGATACACCTTGTAGAGACCTGCGTGCACGCCCTCTTGATGATCTATGGAAAGGTGACTGCACTCCTCGTCCAAGTGGCGATCTACCTGGTCGCGCAGCGCCTTGTGGGCTAGTCCGGGATGCGAGTAGGGCACCGAGAACCCAACATCACCAGAAGAGGTAGCAAAGTCTGCACGCAAAGGCTCGCCGAATCCGTCCATCCAGAAGATCAGATCGCCTGTCGTGAGAAGCCAGTCGGGCGCCGTTACCCCAAACTTCTTGCAGTATTCCGATATTGCGAGATTGACAGGCGGAGTTGATCCGTGGTCATCGGTGCTGACTTTGATCCCGTGGCGATAATGAATTGTCGATGTCTGGATGGCGTCGCGCAGAAGCAACAGTATTCTCTGATTCAACTGGCCAAGGAGAAATTGACGTGTGTGAAGTGTCTGGAGGCCGGAGTGTTTACCAGGTGGATGCACAAGTTGCACACGGATGGGGATATCGGGACGAGGAAAGTCAACAGGCCACGACCACTCGCGACGCATCTCGATCTGGAGTAAGCCATGCACATCCATTTCGACGTTGCGCAGGGTCGTCGTAGGGGTAAGCTGAAAGGTAACAGAAATGCTCAGATGCCTGTTACGTAACAATGCCCAGTGCAAACAGTCGAAGCGATCTGGACCTCCGGCATCTTCGCGTACATAGCGAAGGAGGTCCCAGAAACCCGACTTGTCCTTAGAGATGGTATTCATCGGAAGGCGCACCGTTACTGGCTCGGCCAGCATTGTGATGGAGGATAGCGCCTTCAGCCGAAAGGAGCGATTCAGAGCGAGCAAGGCGTGTAGGTGCTCGAGACCACGTATCCGGCGCATACCAAGGTCTACTTCGATTGCCGAAGACGGCTCTTTCGCAGCCGCCATGTACGCCGAGACGATGCGACCTTGTACGCTGAAGGGAAGACCCGCCAATCTCGCCTGGCTCTTCTTTGCTGGCTGTCTGACGAGATGAGGGTGAGGATGAAGCTCCGCAGGGAGGCATTCCATGGACATGGGACATGCACCTGTTGGCGTAAGACACTCGATGGAGCTCACGAGCCCTTCTGTTGAGCTCTTGAATCGAAGAAGGCAAGTGCCGGATGAAGAAATTTGGACGCTAGCGAGCAGCTTTCGTGGTGTAGTCAGAGCGACCGGTCCATAGGCAATAGCAGCAAAGGCGGCGTCTGCTGCACAAAGCGCGTCTGACCGGTCTACATCGAGATCACTGGCATAATGCCGGTGCGCAAGAGCGTATTTGATGTGACATCGGTCCAAGCGCAGTTCCCAGAGCCCGCGCAGCAGGGGTAGGACCTCGAAAAGCCGTGCGTTTGATGTGGTAACCGGATGAAACGATTGCAGCTCGTTCAGGTCGCGACCGCGGTGAACGACGTGTACGGTTAGGTGGCGAAGATGCCTTGCTTGTGATCCCAGTCCCAAAAGCCAACTAGTTGTGTGGTTCAGAGCAGATAACCATGTGGAACCCGATGCGGTCGCGGCAAGGAAACGGTTGCGGGTGTACAAGATGCCGACAGCTTCATGATAGATTTGCCGGCATGTCGAAAGTAGCGCTACTGGAGGTACAGAATTCTGAGATGCATGCGCAGATGGCGGGACAGAGAGTGCTATCGGCTGCTCAAATTCGAAGAGCAGCTCGTAGACTATGTTACGTGCCTCACCGGAGAGGTTGAGAAAGCTAGGTGTCTGAGAATCGATCGGATGCGCCGTGACTTCCGGTATCGACACCGTATCTGCCGGAGGTCCCGGTGACAATCGCGGATACGCAGGCATGTTTCTGAAGGTGGAGATGCAGTACTATCGATATGTAGCGGTAGTCCAAGGGATGGAAACGGTGGAGGTAAAGAGGTGAGGGGTTTGCAGAGGCACCGAGCGTGCGGGAGAGGAGACGATACCCGATCGTCGGTGGTCGGCTGCGGCTTGTTGATGCTTGCGCGCTGATACGCATCGATGTCGATGGCGGAAGCGGTCGGCGCTGGCACTGCTACATTGATTGTTGTTAGTACTTCTCATTGACTGGTCGCATTGTAACAGGCAATGCTTAATGTGTCTGACGGATGCGTTTACAACACCAGACATGACTTGGAAACTCTCGTAGGCTCACCAGAAGGGCGTGAATCGTCTGGAAGCCAAACAAACGCTGTTGAATAGTAATCCAAGAGTGTAGAGAAAGCGACACAGTATATGAGACGATATAGGCCGTGCGAATCGCGGGCTCACAGGAAGAAAGGAATGGTCGAGGAGATGACGGATCTGCTTGCTTGATGAGCGCGCCGGTGCCAAGATGCCATTGCGTGGTTGAGACTGAAACATGCAGCTGGCCATCAGTCGTGTAACATGGGAAGTGAAAAGCGACAGGTAGCGGGGTGAAGGCACTGCTCTATCCACAAGCGAGGCGCAAAAATGCCTGTCCCTCTGATGGAGTGAACATGGTAAGAGTTTGTAGATTCGATCCGAATATTTGGTGACATATCGATCGCATCAACTGCGTTGTGGCCTGCAACCCAGCGGCGTGCTCGTGGCATTGCATGAAAAGTGGAATGACTAGGCGATGTTCTTTGAGGAGGTGTCGGATGTAGTTCAGTGTGTAAGACGTATCAGAGGGTGCACGGGTCGAGACCAGATAACTGGATGGTTCATGGCCATTGTGAAGAAGAGGACAGCACTGCACCTGAGGGTGGCGAAGGGTCAGCTCTTGGTTATATGAGATGAAAGATCTGTCGCACTCCAACACATTTGCAGGAACAGATGGGTTTGGCGCGAAGGTGGAGAGAATCTTCTGTGGTAATGGAGATGGGGAGGGCGAGGTGGTTGGCGATGATGACGATGGCCGCGGGGGTCCGTGCGCCGTGCCAAGCAGACTTTCCACCATCCCCCACGTGGCCGACCGAGAGCCTCACTAGAAGGCTGCCCAGGTGTCTCTGCACCGCATTGCCCTCTACCATTGCCACCAGCGGTCCTTCGTTCCGGAACCTCAACAGCGGTATCGCGTATCACGTCATCGGCTGGTCAACCCATCCACGCCCACTGAACCGGCACGTCCACATCGCACTCGGCCATGGCTGCGCGGCCGAGGTCACCAGATGCCCACTTGGCACGTCCGTCTCCAGGGAGGGCGGCATGTCGCCGGTGGCGCGCACAAGTCTTCATGGGCAACTACTGGCTTACGCGATTACAGACATGAACGAGACCAACTCGTACCGGAGGAAACCACCCTGTTGTGCTCCAGTCACGCCACAGAGCCTCCTCAACGCCATACAACCTATCATCAGCCACCCTCGATCGCCTCCGACCCCCTACAACAATGGACACAACCTCTACACGTGCGGGAGGATGCGTGAACGGCGCATTTGCGTGTCACTGCAACAAGAGCACTATCTGGTCATGGGCAGGCTACTTCCATCGGACCCTTTCTCCACGACCCACCCCGCATCGAGGGGATGATACGACAGCTCCAAGCAACGGCGGTTCGACAGTGCACGTACAATTCCACTGGCACATCTCACCTACCACTCGTCGAGCGTCTCTCGATGTCATCAATCGGCGCTGTAGATCGACTACCCAACAGCCGAGAGAGACAGCGATAGTGCAGACTACAAGAACATATGATGGAGCGAAAACGGTCCCCGTTCTGTTCAGGGCGTACGATAGCCTCACACACTCTCCTCCGCTGTTGCGCGCGGGGTCGGAGCTACTGCCGCTCGTCAATCCAGCGCCGTATGGGCCTCGGTCAGTACCCCATTGGAGTACCTAGCTTGCTTGGTACCTGAGGGGGGAAGAGATCTCAAGTCATACCCGCCTCTACCGTAAAGTTTCATCAAGAGGCTGAGCAGATGCGCGACCGTCTACGTGGGTAGAAACACACAAGTAGTGAGGGGTCTGAAGACAATGTCGACATGCGCGTCTGGCAATTTGGAGCTGCTGCGATGGATAGGCACTGCGCCGCATGTACCTTCCGCGTCTTATAATACATGACAAGAAAGCAGATGTCGCGCGTGGCAGCCTTTCCCGCGGGCAGTACGCGAAGTTCTCGACTACCACAAGGATACTCTCGGCAGAGGGCGAAGTCCATATAGTTCCGTGCCTCCACTACCGCGCTTTCAGCACTCAACCGAAGAAAGGCATACCTATCACCGATTGCCTTCACGACCGGACTTATCCAGCCTGTCGCGCTTGATGACGCTCGATCACTATCCTCTCGCCCTCATGCCAGACTATACGTTGGGCTTTCCCCAGCTTAGTATGCCTACTTCACTACTCTGCTCCTCCGCTGGTATCTTGATCGTTTCAGGCGCCCGAGCCTGAATCACTTATTATCGTCTATTTCATTCCTTGTTTTGCGGTTCCATGCATTCCAAAGGGTCACTTCCTAAATGGCAACCGCTGTTTGAGAAGTATCAGTAATGAGCGAACTGATATCCAGGAAGGATACATGGATTTCATTCATATACGCACATTGTAAGAGACGACCTGGTGGTCGGCAAGGTAGAGGCCACGGCCCCAGTTGTCTGAGAACTCATCTTCACAGCGTACCGTTAGCAGAACGCCTATTGGGAAGATGGCATAGCGAAGCTATTCTAGCCGTCGCCAGTGACGAACACATTTGGGGTGAACCGACTGTCACGAAACTCGCTTTCGCAACACATGTTCACGTCGCCAAATCATAACCATGTTTACGTGATTGAAGTGGATAGCCACAAGCAAATATGTTGATCTTCGGCAGTATTCCAAACCTATTACGCCAACAAGCCTAGCCTTGACGCATCGGTTAAAGCTTCACAAGTCAATCCCCAGTGTCGTTGATAAGTATATAGCTGTAGTGGTGGACGAGTCCGCCGATATCGTCCCATCAGCCTGATGCATCACCATCTATTTTGAGTTGGGTTGCTTGAACAACTGTACACCAATGCAATAATACTGTCGACCATGGTTTGTATCTGCGTGAGGTGGCTCTGATGGAGGCAACAGATCTTCAAAGCTACCTACGTGTTGCCCAAAAAGACAGAAGTTTCGAAATAGACGAAGCTGTGCTTTCGCTGGATCTTAGTCAGATGTTAGCGCATTGGCGGACATATACGGCGATGGTGTAGATGAGAATCTAGAATTCTTCTGGGGTGGTCTTCGTTGCTACTTTGTGGAGAATGATAGTGCACTCCGGAGAAGCGGGCTCCATGCGCGGGACTTTCGACACTCGCTGGTGATGTCGCCCTCAGCGTAATAGACAGCCAGCGATCGTCCCGAACGAAAGTAATCGCACTTCGATGAGATCTTTTGCACTCGATCGCGGGCAAATGCCAGGAGCTCGACATCTATGGGCGGGAAAAGAGCGTTATCAGCAACTTCTGCCAACAGCATAAGGGATCCGAGGTTTTGGTGTAAGAACAGACGGCTTATTAGTCGTAAGATTTGTGCGGCGAGGTATCCGAAGCATTGAGGCTGGACACGCGCATCTACGGTCAATATCTCCCCAAGGCCTGCAGGTCTCGTAGAAGGTGCATCGCTATCACGTGAATGAGAGTGGGCCATAGGTAGCGCTGTGACGTCGCACAGGGCTGGCCGCAACCACCAGCGACGCGTCATGACCGACGTTCTCACTCACATCTCGTAGCATCGCGTCAACTCATCACTCAGGAATTCTAAAATTGCATTGGGCGACACTGTCGGATCGTGACTTTTACCTCGTCATTGTGTTCCTGTAGCGCCATTTCACCAGACCTCACGACCGAGAAGCTCTTTGGTGATGCACAATGTACTCTTGTCCTCACACATGACATGCGTCTTTCACTGTGCTGAATCTCTTGAGGCAGGACGATCAGGTGCACACATAAACGAGCCAGTTGAACAGCTGACTTGTCTGACACAACCGGCAACGGCCCGATCTAGTGGAAGGCAACGGTATAGGTTCCTAATTTGCGCTCTTTTGCCTTGCTCGACCGGCGCTCACTCCCATACCAAACTTACTCACAATCCTCACCGCGCACTCAATCTCTATCTCAACCAGGTCAGCCATTGACGGTTTATCTTTCAGCGTTCAAGGGACGCCTGGTGAATTACTTATCCACTTCCTCCGCTGTCATCGAACACTCCCAAGACAACGAATTCTCCAAGGTGCAGCACCGCTATCATGAACGAAAAGACTATCCACGCTACGCAATCCAAAAGCTCCTCCGCCATATACAATCTGAGGAAGTGGCTAAGGCTCCAGTGGTCCGGCTTTGTCACCACACTCGCCGTCTTCCGGAACGGACTCAAGACACGCTCGCAGAAGCTCCGGAGCCGTTTCATCGCCACTGATTGATTGTCGCATTGTTAGTGCTCATTGCTTATTGAGTCATGCTCGAGCTCGTTCGTATGGATACAATCGAGCTACAAGCGGTCGGACCGGTCGTAAGTACATGCGACACCTCATGGGCTTGCTCTGGGCTGACGATATAGTTGAGATCAGTGTGGTGTCAAGGGCTCCACCATAGCCAATGTTACAGTGACATGGTCGCCAGCGATCTTGCGGTCCTGGGAGGGGTTATTTATGAACGCGACTGCAGGGAACAAGCAAATGGGACGTTTTTACTCATTCGACGCGGCTCGAAGAAGACGGGTGTGTCCTTTTAGGCCGGTCTGATTACGACAACTGTTGCTAGCGAGACGACTTTGCCCTTACGATATCCTTCCGCGAGAAGCGTTTTGGGCTTCCGCTAATACGTATCAACCGATGATCTTCTTCATGAGCGCCTTGATCTTGACTGCGAACCATTGCCACCCCTACCACCTTCATG